CTTTTACATAAAGACACATTCTTTTTGCCCCTCTCGCAGTTAGAGTCACTTGATTGCCTCCTTGGGTATCTCAACTGCCCTTGACGATAGTGGATGATAACTGTTGAGTCGGCGGATTCTTGCCGCACTTCGAAGCTGTCGCTGCTGAAGCATTATTTCTGCAGGTAAGATCCCCGATTCCCGGTACAGAACTATGTTCAGTGTAGCTCGCCACTCTGGTATTGCAGCTCGGATTGCAGTCAAAATAGTCTTATCTAGTAACTTGAGGTGCCATCCGACACCCGTACTTACTTTCTTGTCTCGTATCATCGTGATACGGGTAATCCCAGGCCACCAGGCTTCTACACTATAGAAAGCCATACTGACTACACATGCATTTACAGCACGTGTTAATAATCCCGGAGCCGCATCTCTTTGGACTCTATTTACGCTACGTATGAAGTGGGATAGTCGCTGTGCCTTGCTACACCATTCCTGAACATGATGTCTGAATGTTAGTTAGGAATTAAGCCAAACTCCGAGCCATCGAATATGCGGAGAAGGCGTAATAAGCTATTCCCCAGCTCTAGCTGTTAGGTAAGATGAGTCAAGTTTCTTCTTTGGTCCACCCTCAATGATCAGGAGCTCAGACTTCGAAGGGTCGAATCTAATCATGTGTAACGAAGCTAGTTGGACTATCCTATCTACTTCGACCTGGACAGCCTCAAGAGCTTCGCAAGGACTTTTACCGACTCGAACAATGGCGATGTCGTCTGCATATCCGAATCTACAGTTTGGAGTGCCATCCTCGAGTAGGATCGAGATGTATAACATGAATAGAAGTGGCGAGAGTGGTGATCCTTGAGGGACACTGCACTCAACAAGCTTCTCATCTATTACGCCTTCTTCATGTCTTACCAAGACTGTTCGTTGTGTCAGATACGTTTCTACCCAGCGACAGAGTAGTATCGGCTAGCCTTGACTTCGCATTTGTGCTGGCAGTCGATTGTGTAGAGCTGCATCGAAGGTACCTTGAATGTCCAGCGAGACCATAGCTGTGACTTTGTTGGATCTCATTGCAGCTTCTACATCGTGTGTGACACACAGTATCAAGTCTACTGCTGAGCATTTTGGTAGCGCGTCGAATAGTTGGGAAGATACTGTCTTGTACTTTAGCGCAAACCAGGAAATCCATTTAGCTATTAGTCTTTCCGGTCCCTTCTCTAAGCTGGAGAGTAACGATATGGGTCGTCATCCTTTTGGGCTGGAGATATCGCGTCCAATTTTAGAAAGTAGTACAACTTCCGCCACCTTGAAAGGTGTTGGAAAATATTCCAAGTTCAGACATGCCTGAAAGAGGTTCCTGACATATGTTCCAATCGAGCTCCAGCAAGCCTTAAGTAGTCGGACGGTGATTTTGTCATATTCGGGAGCCGTTTCTTTACTTCCAATGGTTGACGTTTTAACTTCTTCCTATGAGACCTCTCCGTTCCATGGAGTAGACTCTGGTTGACCATTCTCCCATGTTTCTACATCGCTTCTAGCGTCGAATCTTCGCAGGAGTGAATCACGCAGTGCGATTGTCCGCTCGAGTGGATCTGAAAGCCACTGGTTTGGTGATACTTGGAGAGGAGGAGGCTGTTTCGTCGGCTTTGGTTTGGCCCATCGCATGAGTTTGAACACTTGTACTTCTGTCTCTGCTGCTTCGACTTGCCTTGTCAAATATTCGCGTTTGGCTGACTTCACTGCGGCTCGGAAAGCCTTACGAGTCATATCTACATCTCCAGATATCCTTTTAGCTACCCTGTAGTCAATCTATCGTTCTTTGCAGTCCTCAGTCCACCAAGGCGCTGTTTTCCCACTTCATACAGCGGGTACTCGTCCGACAACTTTGGCCGCATCTTGAAGTACTCGGATTAAACTCCTCGTGAAGCTCTCAATCTCGATTTGACTACTAAGGGAGCCAGACCTTACCTATTGCTTTACGCATCGAGCAAACTCGTCTAGGTCGCAGTCTCTCACGCGGGTTAGCCTTGGGATTCCGGATAGCTCCGAGTACCCGGATGTGTCAACTGAGCCCTCAAAATTAGAGTGGTCTGATATACAGTGAAAGCAGGTTGAGACTGATACAAAAGCCGTCATGTTACTCCAGGTTAGTTCTAGCACATTTCCGTCTCGCTGGGTGCTTTCTCCAATGGTTTTTAGTGGCTGCATATTATTTTCGCGAGTCCATCCCATGATGAGATCGCCATTACCGTATTGGCGTTCTATTAACGGCTGCCATTGCTGTGAGACTGAATTAAAGTCGCCTCCAACTACTGAAGGGCTAGTGGGATGCCGGTTTAGTAAAGGAACCAAAGTCCCACTGGGCCCTGGGGCACGATAGACGTTTACGAAGGTCAGTCCGCACACCTGCATGAAGCAATAGTCTGACGTCTGGCTTGATGACAAAGGCATGATGTGTGTGGCTTGCAGTCCTTTCCTGACAAAAGTGGCGGCGCGTGGTCGTGATCTCGGTACTGTATTTCTGAAGGGTTTGAACCTATTGATGCCAGGGAGGCCTTTCGTAGTGAAATCTCCGTCTTCTCACAAGGTCTATGGTTCTTGTACCATGACTATATGTACTCCTGAATCCCAAGCTTGTTGCAGCGCTATGTTCATGTTCGGTCCGCCCTTTCCCTCGTTCACTTGGTAAAAGAGAGGGGTGCCAAGTCTCTGTTTATGATTATATGAGTTTGGTGTATTACTCATTATCATGCATTATTTCTTCTGGTATGTTAATGACCTCACGGGCCTTACCTTTTTCTTGAGAACTTAACAATGCTGCCTTGAAATCCAGATGTCCTCTCTCACGAATAACTTGTAGCTCTGCTGGTGATCGAGGCGTTACTTGACCGTGATGCCGCCTTTGTTGAGCCATGCAGCTTAAATGGGTAAATTCTTGCGTACCAGAACATTCAACACACAACTATCCTTTGACGCAGCTTCTTGTTGAGTGATATCCCAATTAGCGTTACCACTGCTCGATGGGGCGTCGATGAGAAAACGGAATGTTAGGCCCACTCTCGTCAAATAGTCTGAATCTCAGGTTGGATGGCACCTGTTTGAAGTGTATTATCCAGCTAACAGAAAAGCTTCCTAGTTTTATATCATTTGGGCGCACCTATATTGGTGACTCCACAAACTCCCTGGCATTCCGTCTTCACTTTTTCACTAGTAGCTTCAATCCTTCTTTCTAATGTACGGATGCAGATTGGGACATGAGCGACCACGACGGACGTCCAATTTGAAGCGAGCTCAATTGTGATTTCCTCTTTTCGAATTGAAGGACCTACACTCAGAATCGATTCTTTGAGTGCTTCTGATGCGCACTCCATTAATAGGCCGGACCTAACTTGTATCATCTCTATAGTTGCTGAAGGTGCGACTCTAGCTTCTTCAGTGATGAGTTTCTTTATTGTAACAGGTGATAACGTCCGCCACTGATGTTTTCGCCCCATACGAAGGAAGAGTCATTTATCTTCTTTCGGGGGCTCTTGTCTGGCTGGTCTTGGTTTTACCAGATTGGCTGGCGGGTCTGGGGCTTGGCTACTTTCTGAGCTACTGTGATGCACGAAGAAGCAGTCTCCTTGGACTTCCTTGGCAGCTCATGAACAGGTTTATCGCTAGGTTTTGTCGCCCTGGATACAGAGGTTTTTAACTGTGTACTTTCTGGGGATGGGTTCCTGCCTTGGATTTCGCCCAGGCGTCGATATTTTGCAGGAATTCATGAGCTAGGCTCATTCGCTGCTTTATTTGGCGTTCTAATTGCTCCATGGTGGCAGCAATCCCAGGAAGCCTCGGGTGTAAATGGTCGCCTGGGTCGGTTGACGCCGAAGACGACGGCTAGTTGCACGCAGTCATGATGCTGTTTGATTTTACGGATTTAGATGCTGGAATAGATTTACTGATGCGCGTGTATGGGGTGGAAGGATTGGATGATGTGAACTTGAAAATGTGATGATTTCTTTCTTTCTTTCCTTACAACGTTGAGCCCAACATTATCATGCGTACTCTTGACTGTCCACAGTAAGACTAGTGTGCTTCCATATCATAACACAAATTCTATAATAATGTAGGTACACATATTAAGCCTCTAGATATTTACCAGAAGAATAAATTCAATAAAGTATAATCTCGTATAATATCAGAGTGTGCGTATGAGGACTTGCGATACTGGCTAGACTGTTTTGTCACATTAAGTACATCACGACTGTAAAATCAGGGGCTCATGATAGAAACTAGATCAGGCAGGGCTACCAAGTATTCTAAGATATTATACAAACCAGTAAGAATTTTCCATACTTAGCTTGAATTCATTCATTACCTGAACTAAATGCGTATCAAAATGTCTGAACTAGCAGATAACACTGCATTATAATTTCCAGGATGGTCTCATTAATAGATTCTTGTAAGCTACTCACCTACTTGATTATATTTTTTATTTTACTCTCTAATCTAGCTGGACTAGACAATGTTTCGTAAGAGTACATGATGGTGTTAGATGATCTGGTGTATGAAATCGGTCAACTATACTAGGATCATCCCTTTGCGGCCTTATCCGGTTGGGAAGGAAGTGCAATTCCCTACAGTAAACCTAGATGGTGGTGCCTGCAAATGCAACAAGCTGATTAAAACCACTATTAATCCAGAAACTATGTTTGCAGTCTGGAAGTTGGCAGAAGCATGGGCTCCAAGCTTGTTACCCTAGATTTGATCGTCAGAGGCAAAAGCTCACATAACCCTGCATAAATAAATTTATCACCACCGTAAAACTGAAGAGCTTAATATTGTTCAACAGGTATTATATTTTATCATTAGTCTCATTCTCTGCAAAGATTAATTACATAAACGTGCTCCCGATCCTGCCAGCAGCGAGCGCTTCGCTTGCTTCCATAACTCCGCCAAGTCTGTTAAACCCTAAACTCATCGACAAAAGGTCAGCAGAAATCTAGATAGCATATTTCAAATAAGCTCTTGGGTCAACCAGGGTGTGAAAGCTTAGCAGGTATGAATTGAGGCTGAATAGATCCTATAGACGAAGTTTCTATCTTGCCTGAGTGAGGTTTGGTAAGATTTGAAAGATCTGTATCGTTGAGTATTTCACAGGTTTGTTCGGTGGTATAATTGCTTCCTGGCAATTCTTGTTCAACAACTTCTTTGTCATAGAGAACCTCAGTTTTTATTTCGTCACTAGATATTGGCGCCTGATTAAGATAGTATCCACGTTGGAGTGCCAACTTTGCAGCTGCGTTCCGTTTAACTTCAATGAGAATTTCTTCCTCTTGCGTTACTCTGTCATTTTCCTGCTGAAGGTCAAAAAGTGATGGTGTCTGAACCGTCACCGCTGGACTTGAGATTGTCGGGGCTCCAGGTTGTGCATAGCCAGTGCTGGTACACTGTCCGCGTATTGACACTTTCGAATACGAGGATGACCGAGAGTTCTCTGATACTGGCTTGAAAACTGTACTTATACAATAGGCTTCATCTTTTCCTCCATTATTCCGACTTATACTAGTATCATCCGAGCTGGAACCAGTTATTCGTCGTTCCAACACTATGGAAAATTCATCACTCAATGGTACTGCATCATCTTCTTCATCGCTTTGAAATAGGTCACCGCGTGAGCGAAGGGAATCTGATGTTCCACCAGAACTCGCGATAGAGGCCCTACTTCGTCTGGATCCACCAACTTGTCTATCATGATCAAAGTCGTCATCGATTATTAAAGGAGCTCTTTCATTATCTTTACGACGTCTCGAACGTCCAATTCCTGGGCGATCCTGAAGGTCTGCCGCGCTTGGTTTATATCGTAATGTGCCACCCAATTTAAATGGCAACCGACCGAGGAATCCCAAGGCACTTGTACTTGGAATAATAGTAGGATCATGATCACAACTTCTCCGCCTCTCTCGTGTGCCATAACTCATTCCCCGGTTTCTTTTGGGTGGCTGATTAATGCCAATACCTTTTCCTGAGCTTAGGCCTCTACCTGCTAGAAGTCTGTCTAGTTCATCAGTTCCCCAGCCCCCAAATAAACCATGATTTTTGAAATGATCTTCTTGATCCCAATCGTCATAAAAATCAAAGCTTGCCTCAGCCCTTCCCCTCATTCGTCGCCGAGCCCGTTCTTCGCGATCTGGGAAGCATATTCCCGTACACTGTTCGATACCGAAGGCGATTGAGGCAAAGCATGGATGAATGTACTCGTGTTGGAAATTCCAAATGTTTGCCGCCGCTGTTTCCGTGACGGACTCGGCATTTTGCGAAATACGATTCCATCGTTGTCGGATACGTGGATCTTCGAGAAGAGGCGCCATGAGGACGATGTGTGATGGAGGAAATGACCGATACAGTTCAACGATGTGTTGCGGGTGAATGTGGCCACGAAAAATGGCGAGATAAGGAGCCGGTGCAACAATGATGTAGCATTAGCTACGAATTTTATGTAGGTGGTTCGAGCTCATGATTTCTGTCGGAGGTCGATTGGGAAACATAACGCCCCTCACACACACAACGATTTGCACCACACAAATCCGCCACATGAGATTTGCCTAAGGCCATCAGGAAGGCACTAGTTCATAGTTACCACATGTGTATCAGGTATGGCGGGGCTTCTCAGGCATCATCTACGTAACATTAGTTGAGCTAGACAGCTAAGCACGGCATACCGCTTAATACAGTATTTAATTACCCGCAAACATGTAATCGCCAGCTATAGAAGAAGACGGTGTACGCCTGTAAACAGGGACATGTAGCAACTAGACTACAGGGGTACACGATAAATATTGATTGCCTGATATTCACTTGAGGTTGAGGTGACCGTCGATCACTTTAGATCAGCATACAATCGACATTCATTTTCAAATTAGCTAGTGGAAGTTTTCGACCAACAAAGCACTAAAGCATACAAGCAATTATCGATTTAGTCTTCATAATGACCATGCCGCGAGGGGGGATACCCGATTACTTAGTGATTGTCGGGCTCCAATGTGTGTCATGCTTGTGACAATGAGCCATTATTCATACTCTGATCCAAGGATCTAATTTCGAAGGAAGTAGGCTCAACTGTCAATTTAGTCCCTGCCTGGTAGATTTTCGTCTGAAGGCTAACGATGGTTAGCATACAATGTCAAGATGCATTTCGTGGCATCCTTTACTTTTCGAAGTCCAAGCTTCAGATCGCCAGTCAAGAGCACGTAAAGTTCAGGATCGCCATCCAGGGTTTTGATCCAAAAACCCAAATTATAAACCAACTTCAAGTAGGGCTATACTGAACACCTATAAGTGGTGTCTCTACGAACCTGGAGTTGAAATATTCTCCCAGAGCCAAGTTCAGTCAAATTTTGCAATACCGAACAAGTTGGCCCACGGGGCAATGATTCAAGATACTCCAATATGTCAAATTTTCACTCCCAACGAGATCAATTCCCGCTTAAGCCCCATCAGGTCTACAAGTTTGACCTAGTGCATCCTCATTCCAATGACCATACCTCTCGTCGAAATTCTTTGGCCTCAGCTCGTCACAAAATACACGCCCATGCCGATATTTAAACACGCAAGAGGAATTAGGACAAGTTCACAAGATAATTCAAATGAGGGATATAACTTTGATGGCCATGAATATTGGCAAAAGTTTAAGAATTTAGCTATGTGTTCAGCAAGACTTCGCTTGGGAGAGTCTAGCTGACACTATAAAAACCAACAAACGATGGAAGGTGTTGTGGTGCGTCTCCTGGTAGTGTTCTTCGGTATAGTCTGAGTAGCCAGGGCACCTACTCCACTTGGGAAGGAGACATCTCAGATCATATTTCGCGCGGGGAAAGTTAAAAGATGATGGAGGCATGTCTGGGTAACTCAGGGTTTTTGAGACGTTCCCCTGGGTGGGTATTCACGGATGAGGGTTGAGTTGGGGTGAAGAAAAAGCCACCATAACTTCGCAGCGGTACTTGTAAATGAAATCCGAAGCATGAGTGCCCTTCCTTTGTATTGAATCATCTATTCTGTACTTTTCTTTGATATTGTGTCATAGCAAGATAGCTGCATAAGCAATTAAGGTCTGATGCAAAAATAAAAAAAACAGGTACGTGAAGAGCTCACGTGCTGTGCGCGGACACGTCGTTAACTAATATAAGTAAATGGAGTCACCTAGGGGAGGGGGTAGCAAGGAGTTAGGCATTGAGGAACTGACACGAAAAGAGTAGGCTAGAGCTCTGCCTTGCATCAAAATAGATCATTAATTGCGAAAAAGAGAGGATATCGTAGTCTCTAGACGATGGAAATGCCCGATAGAAATAGACCATGCGGACACGCCAAACACCCATTCTTGGGCATAGAGGCTGGGCGGTACCCATGAGCCCACTAGGCGTTTATTGCCACGAACACAACCACAATTTTTTCAAATTTGTTGGTTCCACTCAGTTTGAATGTTGCAACCTCAGGCCATTAGGCTTGACAGATCATAATAGCTGACTAATCTATGGAGGCCTGTGCGTCTCATCTAATTTGTAGAGGTTCGAAACTCTCAAGATAGATGTAATATCATATACAATTCAGTACACTCTATTTCAATTCCCCAGCAATAATGCTTAAGTCCTGTCAACAAAATTCGAAAATTCAAAACCTCAGTTCTTCCGGCTCTCCATCCCTCTCGCGCTTGTCGCATTCCTTCAATAAATTGTGATCGAGTCGCTGGTATTTTTATCATGCCACCTGTTCGAAAGAAGCTCCCCAACTCAATGTTGGACAACGCGAGAGTCCGCCCGAGGGTTCCCGCAAAAACACCAGGCCTCGCGCAAAAACTTTCAAGGATATTTGCGAGTGTGGGCTTCATCGAAGGGAAGTCTCCAAACCTTCCCGAAAAAGAGATGACTGATTCTGAGCCCGTCAGGTCAGCAAAAATTGGTCCCGAGACCCATACCCCCATCGAGCTTGCCCTAGAGGAAAGCACCTTAAGGAAAGGAAATTGTTCGAGAAAAGACAACCGAACGTGCAGAATTCTCTGCAGGAAACAATGCTGTGCCAGCCTCTACAGGCGCAGCATCGACATCAGCAATTGAGTTACCTCCGGAGCTGCAAACCGTTATGGAAGCCGAAAAGCGACGGACGACGCAGATTACGGCCCGCCTCGCCATCTGCTCGACTGCGATAAACAGTTTTCAAGCAGCACTTTCGCCTCTTTCGATCGGGGATAATAAAGAATTCGTAGACAGTATAAAAGTCTACCTACGAGCTGCTATTGGCCAGTTCGTTCAATCCGGTCCAGGAAGCACACCACCAGTCCTTCCTGCCCGCCCCGCTAACCCTCTCTCACCGAGGACTCCAGAAATTAGGGCACCTAACTCTACGAAAACCCAGGCTCCGGCCCCAAAGACAACTTGGGCCACCGTAGCTCTAGCAGGCCTAGTCAGCAGCGCTGGGCCATCGACAAAAAGGCAGCAACGCATGCCCATAATGCGAAAAGTGCCAACTCAAGTGAATAAGTCGATTCACGACTTTTTCTACGCCTTGAACATTTCCGTCCCCACCGTCTCCCCTCCCCAGCTGGCGTAAGGCTAGTGGTGTCTCAGGCGCTGGGAACCGCTGCCAACAATATTACGTTGGTTCAGCGGGTAAATACCGGCTTTGCTATTACAGCAAAGAACGAAGCTTCTCGAAAGGAGCTCCTAGATTCCTCCACATCACGGAGCGAATCTGGAATCAAACTGGAACCAGCATCAAATCTGGTTGCCATGCAAATTGCCACCGTCCCGGAGACAATTCGAACTCTTGCTGGCCCAATCGCCGTGACGGCAAAGATGGTTGCCGATGAAGTCACGCGAGTGACCAAATCAGTTCCTTTTCTTGTTCATCCTCACGGGACCAGCAAACCCGGGGCGTCATACCAGAACTGGCAAGCGCTCTTCCCTCGCGAATCCACGCCCCGACCTGGATTTCGCCTCTTAGATGACTCCGGAACTGCAAAGCTCTTCCAACCTCGTCGAAATATAGTTCAGTGCAAACGATGTCTTGGCTTCCATGCCTCTCGCGGTTGCTCCCGCGCTCCGGCTTGCTGGAACTGCGGATCAAAAATGCACTCGGAAGCGGTGTGCAAAGCCCCCACACGGTGTCGAAACTGTGGGGGACCTCATCGATTGGATTCGCAGCTCTGCAAAGCCTGGCCTAGCAAGTTATGCCCGGTGAAAAAAGAGCGGCTCGCGATAATTGGCAAGGTTGATCAGAAAAACCACGCAGATTATGCTCGAGTCAAAGCTGCAGCCGAAATAGCCATTCAGACAATTTACGGCGCGAAGAACGACATCTACATGTTAGACGGATCGGGTTTTGGGATTCCGGAATCCGAAGAGGAGTTTTAAGGTTACGGCGAACCTCAGCGAAGCCGTCAAGGCTTGAACATATAAATAGCAGGACACCGGCTGGATAAAAGGTCCCTGCAAGCTCATCTTTTGCTATCAGCGAAGGTTAGAAATTGTCACTTGGAAGATGTGACAGGAAAGGGAACGAGCAAGAAGCGCGGGATCCAGACCTAGTTGGGATTTCCTCTAAATTTGATGCAGATTTTGATTTTAGCTTTGCTGTTAACACCATTATTTATGTGGAAGTTCATTCGGTTGGAATATTGTGGCCCGATCAGAACCATTTTGACGTCTTGACGCTTCGAACATTGAGCGGGGAGGGGGGGCCAGGTGTTACAGGCTATTGCCTTGTAGATGGAATCCGGAGTTTATCCGGCTCCTAGGAGTTGATTATGTCAGCGATAAGCGAGACAACATTTAGGGGGTGATCTCACAAGTATGTAGTTTTTCTCTTTATACACAAAATAAACCCATTTTGGATACACTCGTGTGGACAGCTTTTCAATCTGGTGCCATCCATTCACACCAGGGGCCAGCCTCTGCGGAGGACTTGGGCGGCATGAGTGAGAGGGAAATATGAATGGCAGTTAAAGTCGTATGGTATATGATAGCGCCACTTGTTGGCGAATAGTGTGTGTGTGGCGGACAGCTGTTTATTTATTTTTATTTTTTATTATTATTACGATAAATCCTAAGTTAAAGCTCTTTACCCACAATGAGTGAAGGACCAGTGGAGCCGGCAAGGTTCCCTGCAACTTTTCCTACAGCTTAAACTCCTTCCAATCTTGTTCTCAAACTCAAGGGTGCCGAAGGTAGCGTCGGCAGGGTTACTGAGTGACTTTGGTAATATCTGAGGAGGTTGGCAAGACTCAAAGGTATAAATGCGTAATTGTCACTTGAACTAAGGACGAGGGACGAGGGAATCTAGGGTTGGAGACAAGGCTAGTGGAAGACGGAAGACAAGA